AACTCCCAGGCCCCCAGGCTTCCAAGCTCCCAGGCTCCCAGGCCCCCAGGCTCCCAGGTCGCCAGGCTCCCAGGCTCCCAGGCCCCCAGGCCCCCAAGCTCCCAGGCCCCCAGGGCTTCCAGGCCCCCGGCTCCCAGGCCCCCAGGCTCCCAGGCCCCCTGGCTCCCAGGCTCCCAGGCTCCCAGGCTCCCAGGCCTCCAGGCCCCCAAGCTCCCAGGCCTCCAGGCTCCAGGTCCCCAGGCGCCAAGGCCCCCAGGCTTCCAGGCTCCCAGGCCCCCAGACTCCCAGGCCCCCAGGGCCCCAGGCTTCCAGGCCCCAAGGCTCCCAGGCTCCCAGGGCCCCAGGCTTCCAGGCTCCCAGGCTCCCAAGCTCCCAGGTCCCCAGGCTCCCAGGCTCCCAGGCTCCCAAGCTCACAAGCTCCCAGGCTCCCAGGCCCCCAGGCTCCCAGGCCGCCAGGTCCCCAAGCTCCCAGGCTCCCAGGACCCTGAACTCCCAGGCCCCCAGGATCCCAGGCCCCCAGGCTCCTAGGCCCCCAGGCTCCCAAGTTTCCAGGTCCCCAGGCTCCCAGCCTCCCAGGCCCCCAGGCTCCCAAGCTCCCAGGCCCCCAGGCTCCCAGGCTCCCAAGCTCCCAGGACCCTAGGCTCCCAGGCTCCCAGGCCCCCAGGCTTCCAGGCCCCCGGCTCCCAGGCCCCCAGTCTCCCAGGCCCCAAGGCTCCCAGGCCCCAAGGCTCCCAGGACCCCAGGCTCCCAGGCCCCCAGGCTTCCAGGCCCCCGGCTCCCAGGCCCCCAGGCTCCCCGGTCCCAAGACTTCCAGGCCCCCAGGCTCCCAGGCCCCCAGGCTCCCAGGCCCCCAGGCTCCCAGGCCCCCAAGCTCCCGGGCCCCCAGGCTCCGAGGTCCCCAGGCTCCTAGGCCCCCAGGCTCCCAGGCTATCAGGCACCCGGGCTCACAAGCTCCCAGGCTCCCAGGCCCCCAAGCTCCCAGGCTCCCAGGCCCCCAGACTCCCAGGCCCCCAGGCTCGCACGCTCCTAGGGCCCCAGGCTCCCAGGCTCCCAGGCCCCCAGGTCCCCAGGTTCCCAGGCCCCCAGGTTGCCAGGCTCCCAGGCCCCCAGGCTCACAAGCTCCCAGGCTCCCAGGTCCCTAGGCTCCCAGGCCCCCAGGTCGCCAGGCTCCCAGGCCCCCAGGCTCACATCCTCCCAGGCTCCCAGGTTCCTAGGCTCCCAGGCCCCCAGGTCCCCAGGCCCCCAGGTCCCCAGGCCCCCAGGCCCCAAAGCTCCCAGGCCCCCAGGCTCCCAGGTCCCCAGGCTCCCAGGCCCCCAAGCTCCCAGGCCCCCAGGCTCCCAGGCTTCTAGGCTGCCAAGCTCCCAGGCTCCCAGGCCCCCAGGCCCCCAGGCTCACAAGCTCCCAGGCCCCCAGGCTCTCAGGTCCCCAGGTCCCCAGGCTCCCAGGCCCCCAGGCCCCCAAGCTCCCAGGCCCCCAGGCTCTCAGGTCCCCAGGTCCCCAGGCCCCCAGGCTCCCAGGCCCCCAGGCTCACATGCTCCCAGGCCCCCAGGTCCCCAGGTTCCCAGGTTCCCAGGCCCCCAGGTCGCCAGGCTCCCAGGCCCCCAGGCTCACAAGCTCCCAGGCTCCCAGGTCCCTAGGCTCCCAGGCCCCCAGGCTCCCAAGCTCCCAGGCCCCCAGGTCACCAGGCTCCCAGGCTCCCAGGCCCCCAGTTCGCCAGGCTCCCAGCCCCCCAGGCTCCCAAGCTCCCAAGCTCCCAGGCCCCCAGGCTCCCAGGCCCCCAGGCTTCCAGGCCCCCGGCTCAGGCTCCTACACCCCCAGGCTCTCATGCTCCAAGTAACACAAGCTCCCAACGAGAACAAATGGACTTCTCAATTTTGAATGTATAGCAACCCTAAGTTCATGGCACTCCCTTAGGGAGCCGGAGAAAGCTGTTTACATCGAACTATCCAGTCATAAGAAGCCATTATCCTTATTCTGTAGGAATCAAGACAATTTAAACCTGGAAATCCCCTTTAGTTCTGGAAGCAAATGGACATCCCATTTTCGAATGTACAGCGAAAGTAGTCAAGCAACTGTATGCCGTGCATAAGCAGTCTGGAAAGGATTTGAACTTGATGCTATTTAGCCCAGCACAAGTAATATCCAACCTTGACCGCGGATCTGGAGCAACCGCTGACGGAAGAGAAGAAATGAACAATGAACACAACATAACACAAAAATGCAAAATATACACGGACATAAAGTTAAAGAAATGAATACGACTTAGCCAGCTTGGCTGCTGGACCGCCATGCTTGCACAGTCGAACTACCTCGCTCACATAGACCGCGGTTAGCTGCTTGCATGAATAAACAGAATGGTTCCACCTCAAATATATTTGCCGTTGGTGCCTTTCATTTGCGCCAGCCAATCTCTTGGCAGTACAGCGGCGACCCACAGGCAGGATCTGTACCTGTCTCATTGTGCATTGCCACTCATTGCAGCATCAAACTAACAAGTGTTATCGTCTTTGTAATAATTACCTTACTCAGGATCAAGAGTCTCTGGCTGTGCTATAGTTGGCTCCAGCCCGACCCTACTCTCTAACCCCATAGGCCAAATCTCTAAAGATGCTTAAGAGGTAATATCACAATGGAAGCCAATGACGATTTTGTGGGTGGATTCGGGATGCAGCCCACGCAGCCGTCGGACAATAGGCGCAGGATGCACGAGGTCCAGCTGCAGCTATGATGCAGCCAACGAATGACAAGTGAGTGGCATCATCAGCCATTGCACTGGTTCATCAGATGAGCGGTACATTTTAAACGTGCCCAGCAACGTTTGCAGTGATGCTGGTGATAAGGCCACCAAAGCGGTTGAGGAATTCCTGACCGTCAGTGGAATGAAATATGACGACTTTGCCGAGTTCTATGGCAACTTGGCAACATAGGACTTCACCATCGCGACCACGCTCCTCATGCCATGGCTGCACACCTGGGCAGCACCAAACCCAAGCAACAACCCAAGGTATGATGTTGTCTCATGAGAAGTAGTAAAATTGGGCTTGCATGCTAGACATTGCAACTGCTTGCTTGCATGATCTGCGGGACTCAAATGAGGAGGTTGCAACCCCATATGGTAAACTTGCTTCAGCAGGCATGTGTACAGAAGCGAGAAACGGGAGCTGCAGACGGCATCATCCACCAAAGCTCTGCCTACGATGAAGAAAGGTGACATAAGCATGATGCCGCTCTGCCTGAGATATGGGTGCCGGTTTGGAAGCCGTTGAGGATGGAGGCGTATGTTGGCTACTGGCTCATATCATGAAGCATGACACATGAATAGTGACCTGTAGGTTTTCTGAGAGTAACGAAAGAAAACCAAGGTTTTCTGTGTATTTGCCGAGAGCGTACTCGGCAGTTCGTTGGTGGTACGGCGGGGCCGTACTGGTGAGAAAGTAGGGCAAGTCGCGGAGAGCGCGACGGAAAGAGCAATTTCGCGAGTTAATTTAGTCAGTACTGACAGGTTTCCACTGCGTCGTCTGCCAATTACACCGCCCCGAGGCAGATAACGCAGTCGGTAACCATGTTCCCGTTCCTCGGTTTAGAGGTCGCCCTAGTGGCAATGTTCGCGGGCATCGTTATGATGCCAGCTAAACGTAGAGTCGGTGACCAAGTGGTAGAGCTACAGAAGGTGCTTGCAGACTTACACGCGCAGTTGACCGCAATAGAACAAGCCGACGACTATCAGAAGGCCGCCTCCATGCTGGCCTCTGACCCTCTAGCACGTTTAAACAAGAAAAAATTTTCTACCGCGATGGGCCACGCTTGGGATACCTACGTCGCATTGAAGAGTCAAATGGCGAGTGTCAGCGCGCACATTGCTCAACTGGAGATGACCATGGAGCAGCCAGCTATGAAGGTTCTCGTCTCCGACAAGTCTGGTCGCGTCATGGAGCGCCCATTGAAGGACCTGGACTACGTCAACGATGGCTGGGTCAACAAGTCGGGCAAGGAGCACAAGGCGCTCAAGCGGGAGAACCGGGAGCTGAACCAAATCTACCATGCCCTTCAGAAGGTCAACCGCAACCTGGAGGACGAACGCGAGGCGCGCCGCGATGAGGCCCCACCGGAGCAGATTGAGGAGTTGGAGAAGGCAACTAACGACGCCATCACCGAGGGTGAGACTTGCTCACGGACCTAAACACGCGGCTGCGCAAGGCGATGTTGGTGGGTTGGGAAACCGTTGAGTCGTTGG